ATCATCTTTGTTAGAATTATCAGGTAGAATATTCAACAACAAAGTCTCTGGTGTAAATGGTACTACCGTCCCTAGTACCCTTTGCAAGATTTCATGTACCATTACCCAATATTTCTTAGATCTTTCACAATGCCACCACATGTGGTAAAATGAGGGTCTGATGTGTCTTGCTGGAGGTCCATGGGTTTCTGTAATACTCTCGTCCAACACCACATCAACTTTCTTCCTGCCCAAACATCTTCATCACGTTACATGTTAATTTGCCATTCAGCCTTCTATACGTTTGAACCTTACCTCCTGTTCCACTGTATTTGAAAAAGCGTGCTTTGCACATGAAAACTCATACCTTGAATAAACCTTTGTTGGTCTTAAAGGTACCCCTGGACTTTAAATTTGTTCTAACTTGATCTTGGTCGCCAGGGTCATCTTTTGCTTTAATTGCCTATAAAAAGGGGACACTGCCTTAATGGCCTGAAACTGGAAGGCGGGATCCCATGAGTACGGGACACAGTCTTTCAAACTTTCATGCCAACGGGGTGTGAAACAAACAAACAAAAAGAAATGTACAGCCAGAAACATATTTCCCATTGAAACTGACAGAAAAGAATTCGGAATGTGAATGGGTATGAACACTGTGATAATGGGAATGAATAGTGAACAGCAGGAGCAGAAAAAGAATGAAAAACGTTCATCACTTCTCTTGCTTCCATTGAGAGCCAGTTTGGTATAGTGGTTAGGAGCGCGGACTCTAATCTGGGAGAACTGGTTTGATTCCCCACTCCTCCACATACAGCTGCTGGAGTGACCTTGGGTCAGTCACAAGTTCTTTTAGAGCTGTTCTCTCAGGAGCAGTTCCCGAAAGAGCTCCCTCAGCCCCACCTACCTTACAGGGTGTCTGTTGTGGGGAGGGGAAGGGAAAGGAGATTGTAAGGTGCCCAGAGACTCCTTTGGGTAGTGAAGGGTGGGGTGTAAATCCAGTCTCCTCCTCCTCCTCCTCCTCCTCTTCTTCTTTTTCTTCTGCATCATCAGAATTCTATAATGGCTTGCAGGTGTGCCCACCAAATTGGACCTAATCTGAGATATCAGGTTAGTTACGTCTACATCTCCATCCATCCATCCATCCATCCATCCATCCATCCATCCATCCAATAAGAGTAGAGGGCAGAGAGTAGAGGTTCTCACTCAGACATTAATCTGAGTGAGAACCTAAGCCTTTAAAATTACATTTCCCCAGCTAACTTCCCTTCGTGCTCACTGACACAGAAAGACCCCTGAAAGTATGGGACTCAATTAACACCGAGAGATCAGTCCATGAGAGCTATCTTAACACATCTCTGTCTGCAATAACGAAGTGATAAGAGGACAGAGGGAAGCAACGAAGGCCAAGCAACGAACTGGCAAAACGTAGAACTTTAGAGGGTTTATTGTGGGGTGACATGCAAGAAAGCTCCCCGTCAGATAAGCACGGCAGGGGAGAGGCGATGGCTCAGTGGCTGAGCATCTGCTTTCTGTGCAGAAGGTCCCAGGTTCGTCTCCTCGCATCTCCAATTAAGAGGATCAGGGGATTTGAAAGACCTCTACCCGAGACCCTGGAGAGATGCTACCAGTCTGAGTAGACAGTACTGACCCTGAGCAGACAGTATAAAGCAGCTTCACGTGACTCTGCTGGTGTCTGATGAAAATTACACACCAGTAAGAACATAAGCCAAGGTTGGATCAAGCCAATGGCCCATCCAGTCCAACACTCTGTCACACAGTGGCCAAAAATACCAGGTGCCATCAGGAGGCCCACCAGTGGGGCCAGGACACTAGAAGCCCTCCCACTGTTGCCCCCCCCAGCACCAAGAAGACAGAGCATCCCTTGCCCCAGATAGAGAGTTCCTATCTATACCTTGTGGCTAATAGCCACTGATGGACCACTGCTCCATAGGTTTATCCAATTCCTTCTTGAAGCCGTCCATGCTTGTAGCCGCCGCCTACTCCTGGGGCAGTGAATTCCATGTATTCATCACTCTTTGGGTGAAGAAGGACTTCCTTTTATCCTTTCTAACCCGACCGCTCAGCAATTTCATGGAGTGCCCAGGAGTTCTTGCATTGTGAGAAAGGGAGAAAAGGACTTCTTTCTCGACCTGCTCTATCCCATGCGTCATCTTAGAAATTAAATAAATAAATAAATAAGTAGAAATAAAAGGACTGACAATGGCCGTCATGCAATTAAAGACTTCTTTGCATATTGGACAATCCGTGAGTCAAGTAATACAGAAGGGCAGATCTCATTGGGAGAAACTTCCACCCAGTGAGAACAGGTGGTGGAGCACAGGGGTGGGGGCGTCAGATAAGGATCTATGAGACTCACGCCCAGATCTACCCTCTGCCACGGAAGCTGGCTGGGTACCCTTGAGCCATTCGTTCTCTCTCAGACTAGCCTACCTTGCAGGGCTGTTCTAAGGACAAAATGGATGAAGGGAGAATGTGGTAAGCTGCTTTGGGTCCCCCTCGGAGAGAAAAGCAGGATATAAATATTGAAATCAATAAATAAACAGTTCAATAATGGAGTCGATTACCTGGATTGGGGGAGGGTCTTCATCACTGGTGGTCTTCAAGCAAAGCTTGGATAGGAGTGCTCAAGGTTTGAATTTCTTGCACTGAGCACAGGTTCGGACCACGTGGCATTAATTAGCTACATCTGCATTTGGCAAGCCAGTGTAGCATAGTGCTTAAGAGTAGGGGTGCGCAAAAAAATCATTTTGGGGGGGATTCGGGTATACTGGACCCCCAAAATATCGGTATTCCCAAGTTCCAAATAATGGTATGTTATTCAGATTCGTTTTTTCCAGGTTTCTGAATTTTTGGGTCCATTATTCCCTCTGAGGAAACTGATAAGGTATCAGTTATCCGAATGCATGCCCCTAGTTAAGAGTGCTGCACTAGTATCCGGGAGTCCCAGGTTCGAATCCCCACTCGTGCCATGGAAGCTTGCTTGGGCCAGTCACGCTCTTTTGGCCTAGCCTACCTCACAGAGTTGTCGTGAAAATAAAATGGAGGAGAACAATGAAAGCCACTTTGGGTCCCCACTGGGGAGAAAGGGCAGGGGTATTAATTAATAAATGAAACTTTATTTCAATATCAAATCGTTCTGAAAGAAAATGCATTTTGCACCCATCTTCTAAAAGGAGAGGCGCTCCCCACCCCCATGCTATTTTCTCCGGCTGAATCTGAGTAGATTTTTAACCTGCTGGTGCATGCAGGAGATGGAATTGGGAAACCTCCTTCACAGAAAGTTATTTTACAAACTCTCTCCCTCACTCCAGATGTCTGGCAAAGGCCTCATTGTTCAGAGAAGGTTTCCACCACCAAGCATTCATGATGCTGGGTTCCTATGGGGAGGGCCAAAAGCATAACATCTTCCAAAACCAACACTGTTCCTCCCTCGGTAGGGGCCATGGCTCAGTGGCAGAGCCTCTGCTTTGCATTCAGAAGGTCCCAGGTTCAATCCCCTGCATCTCCAGCTGAAAGGATCAGGTAGGATGTGATGGGAAAGATCTCTGCCTGAGGCCCTGGAGAGCTGCTGCCAATCTGAGTAGACAAGACTGGGGTCCGAACTGGCAGAGACTGACCAAGACAGACAGTGTGCAACTGCAATAAAAAAGGCCAACGCTATACTAGGGATTATTAGGAAGGGAACTGACCTGATCCAACATTGGCTTCTCTTGCGTTCTTATCTTGATAGACCCCAGGTCTGATTCAGTATAAGGCAGCTTCATCTGTTCAGCAATGTTCAAACAGAAGTAATGATGCCATCAGACCCTCCCTCGTGATCTCAATGTTCTGATCTTATCAGAGAACCCTGGAGGAACCACCACCCCATCCCTTCTGTCCATGGAGCCCTCAGAAGATACTCTGAGTCATTTTTAGTCTACTGTTATCAAAAGGTACTTTTTCATGTCTCATCAGCAGAAGAAGGAAGCCACAAAAAATCATTCGCTGAACCCGCTGGACCTCCTTCCCTCTCCAGGAGTTTCACTGCAGTCAATAAATGAACTCATTCAACGTCCTTAAAAAGTAAGAGAAGAAGGGGGGATTTCAAGGTCTGGCGGAAAACCAGAGCAATCCCTTTCCGAACGTGTACGAGGCCGAGCCTGATATTTCCCTGCCCGTTAAAGATCCTGCTAACGATTCCCTGACAAAGCGTCTGAAGTCTTTGAAGAATTACCCACCCTGGCAAAGAAGGTTAGACCGATGAGTTAAAAATACAAAGTTGCAAGTCTTAGGCAATCAAACGGATATCCACGGGTAGCAACCAAAATGGCTGTGTCAGGTCATCAACGCTTTAAAAAGAAGAGGTAATTAGTGCCGAGAAATCCAGAAGGGAGATTTCCCTTCCCAGAGGCTGCAGAAATAGTACGGAGGTTCTTCAATCCTAAACAGATTTCGACAGAAGGCATTAGACAGATTCTCAGAGGAAAGCTCTTGATCAACGGATATTAGCAATGGCTGCTAACATGAACCCTCGTGTACAGAAATAATATTCTTTCTGAATCCCTGAAGGTGAGAGAAAACAGCATGGAATCATCGAGCCAGAAGGGACCACCGTTGTCACCTAGTCCAACCCCCTGCACAATGCAGGAAATTCACAAACTACCTCTCTCCCCACACCCCCAGGGACCCCTGCTCCGTGCCCAGAAGATGGCAAAGCAAACAAAAACCCCTCCAGGATCTCCAGCCAAACTGGATTGGAGAAAATGGCTTCCTGACCCCAAAGCAGCCATCGGAATTTCCCTGGGCACGTAAGAAAGGGCCACGAGGACTAAGCACTCATTCATCCCTTCCTGCCCTCCCTCTCACGATCTGCCTAAGCTCACAGAGTCAGCATTGCTGTCAGATGCCCAGCTAGCAGAAAAAAGGCCAAGCTGCAGTTATAGGTGGAACCAGAAATGGAGACTTGATGGACCACTAAGGCAATCCATGAGTCCTTCAGGACTTTGCCGTAACTGCCTTACCTTTAGGACATCTTCATCAGCTGATCGGCAGTCCGTGGACTCCGATACATCGCTCACTGACCCATCTTCTTCTACGGCGATCACTTTTACAGGAATGGACACCGTCTTCCCTGTCAGAATGGCCGTGTTAAGGACTTCTGTATCCTACAGGGGGGGAAAAAGGGGGAACACTTTTAATTCAGCATGATTTCTGGGCATATTTTAGGACTTTTCAGAGATCAGTTGCGCTGTTCATCGATCTTTGTCGTGGAGCTGCAGTTCTAAAATTGTGTAAAAACAATGGTTTATGAAGTTAACAAGACGACTTATCCATTGCTCAGTGGTGGTGGAAAGTGCCGTCAAGTTGCAGCCAACTCATGGTGACCCTGTAGGGTTTTCAAGGGAAGAGATGAACAGAGGTGGCTTGCCACTGCCTGCCTCTGCAGAGTGACCCTGGGCTTCCTTGGTGGTCTCCCATCCAAGTACAAACCAGGGCGGACCCTGCTTAGCTTCTGAGATCCGACAAGACTGGGACAGACGGGGCGATCTAGGGCCATGATCACACGGGCAGTTTGGCCCGACACAGCCACTCCTCCCCTCCAGATCAAATGGGCACAGTCAGACAGCGACATCTGTCAGGCATTCCCCAGCTATCCTTATCTTATCATAGGATGACTTGGAGCCGGGGTAAAAAGGCACCACATCCAATGTTCCCTCTAAGCTGTGGAGTCTTATGAGCAAAAATCCTACTTTGTGAGCTACTGGAATTAAAAGTTGTGAGCAGGCGATTTGGCTACTGCATAAATTAGTTTGCTCTGGAGCCATCCTTCCTGAGCGAAGACAAAAATGTGTGAGCCGGAGGCTAAAAAATTGTGAGCTAGCTCACACTAACTCAGCTTAGAGGGAACACTGACCACATCACAAGTGATGTTTTCGGTCCCCCACAGTGTCGTTGCGCGTGGCTGGATGTCTGAAAGCGGGGGAGTGCGCGCAGAACCGATTTGGCAGTCTGAACCTGCAGACCCATTCTGCCACTAGGGAGGGTTATGCACACACATGCATTTTGGGATGTTTTTGACAGTGTGTTCCATGGCTGAGGCGCTGCAATAATGTGGATGTCTCCACAAGTAACCCGCAGCAGGGTGTGCCGTGTGGCCGATATGCCCCGCAACACTTTAAACTGGTTCAATTAGAGGCGGCACCATATTACACCAGGACACCACTGTGACCATGGCCTAGGTCAGGGCATTCATTGCTCTGTCAAGCTAGCATTGTCCATTCTAACTGTGAGCACCTCGCCAGGGTTTCAGACTGAGAAAGGAGGTCCCCAACGTTTGCTGCTACCTGTAACTGGAGATAGCAGGGTCTGAGCCCGGAATCCTATGTAAAAGAAGAAGAGGAGGAGAAGAGATTAGATTTATATCCTGCCCTTCACTTGGAGTCTCAGAGCGGCTTACGGTCTGGTCTCCTTCCCTTCCTCTCCCCACAACAGACAGGTAGGTGGGGCTGAGAGAGCTCTTTCATGGACTGCTCTTTTTATGAACAGCTCTGAGAGAACTTGTGACTGACCCAACATCACTCCAGCAGCTGCTGTAGAGGAGTGGGGAATCGAACCCGGTTCTCCCAGATTAGAGTCCATGCTCTTAACCACTACACCAGGGGTAGCCAAACTTGCTCAGTGTAAGAGCCACATAGAATAGAACAAGAGAGAGATCTTGGAGTTGTAGTAGATAACTCACTGAAAATGTCGAGACAGTGTGTGACTGCAATAAAAAAGGCCAATGCTATGCTGGGGATTATTAGGAAGGGTATTGAAAACAGATCAGCCAATATCATAATGCCCCTATATAAATCAATGGTGCGACCTCATTCGGAATACTGTGTGCAGTTCTGGTCACCACACCTTAAAAAGGATATTATAGCTTTGGAAAAAGTGCAGAAAAGGGCAACTCGAATGATAAAAGGGTTGGAACACTTTCCCTATGAGGAAAGGTTAAAGCGCTTAGGGCTCTTTAGCTTGGAGAAAAGACGACTGAGGGGTGACATGATCGAGGTTTATAAGATTATGCATGGGAAAGAGCAGGTAAAGAAAGAGGTACTTTTCTCCCTTTCTCACAATACAAGAACCCGTGGGCACTCCATGAAATTGCTGAGCGGTCGGGTTAGAACGGATAAAAGGAAGTACTTCTTCACCCAAAGAGTGATTAACACTTGGAATTCACTGCCACAGGAAGTGGTGGGTGCTACAAGCATGGACGGCTTCAAAAGGGAATTAGATAAGCATATGGAGCAGAGGTCCATCAGTGGCTATTAGCCACAAGGTATAGCTAGGGGCTCTGGGGCAAGTGATGCTCTGTCTTCTTGGTGCTTGGGGGGGGGGTCAACAGTGGGAGGGCTTCTAATGTCCTGGCCCCACTGGTGGACCTCCTGATGGCACTGGTATTTCTGGCCACTGTGTGACACAGAGTGTTGGACTGGATGGGCCTTTGGCCTGATCCAACATTGGCGTCTCTTATGTTCTTATGTTCTTATGATAACCATCTTCAAGTACTTGAAGGGCTGTCATATAGAGGATGGGGCAGAGTTGCTGTCTGTTGCCCCAGAAGGTCGGACCAGAACCAACAGGTTGTAATTAAATCAGAAGAATTTCCAGCTCAATGTTCTGGTCACCGCACCTTAAAAAGGATATTATAGCTTTGGAAAAAGTGCAGAAAAGAGCAACTCGAATGATAAAAGGGTTGGAACACTTTCCCTATGAGGAAAGGTTAAAGCGCTTAGGGCTCTTTAGCTTGGAGAAAAGACGACTGAGGGGTGACATGATCGAGGTTTATAAGATTATGCATGGGAAAGAGCAGGTAAAGAAAGAGGTACTTTTCTCCCTTTCTCACAATACAAGAACTCGTGGGCACTCCATGAAACTGCAGAGCGGTCGGGTTAGAACGGATAAAAGGAAGTACTTCTTCACCCAAAGAGTGATTAACACATGGAATTCACTGCCACAGGAAGTGGTGGGTGCTACAAGCATGGACAGCTTCAAAAGGGAATTAGATAAGCATATGGAGCAGAGGTCCATCAGTGGCTATTAGCCACAAGGTATAG